CTCAACCATTCCATCACCCATTTCGTCATCCCCACGTTTGCCCCCTGTCCCTAGCTAGCTTGTTCACGAAAATTATTTAATAAATAACGCCCCCCTCCAGTAATTAGTGATTAATTGCCCCTCTAATTAACATCTACTCCTGCCCATTTTTATTAATTTCTTTCAATGGTGATCATGAAGTGTTTTCATTCATTTCAGATACTAATGATGATGATGATCAATTCTTCTCTTCTCTTTTCATGTTGGAACAAATCAAAGCCACTGATTGGGCAGTGGAGATTTAGTAATTAAATGGGTTGTTTGGTAATTCATTAAGACAGGCAAGACTATAATCCCGAGCGTGTCCTTCACTTGCGATGATTCTCATATGGACTAGACAATTTGCAGTGGCCACCAGCCCAATTTATTTTTTTATTGTTTTCTTAATTCAGAGTTTAATAATCAATTTCTGTTTATTGTCTGCGTTTCTGTTTAATAATCACATTTAACCGTATTCCTGAATTATGTAATTTGCAATAATTATAGGATACATCTCGGATAAGTTGAGTTAACGTTTATACTAATCATGATGTTTTGATGTTTTCTGGTATAGCTTATAAAGCTAAAGAAAAACAGAGAGTCTTCAAAGTGAAAGGTTGAATTACATAAAGGGTCAGCACATTTTGTGCTTCTACCAAATTGATTTGTTAACTTTGATTCTAGATGAAATGTTCCACTGAAATTTGAAATCACTAACATAATAAATTTTTATTAGTTAATTTATCTCGAACTTTTTCCGATAAATTGTCCAAATTATCAGCCGTCAAGTCATCGAGACAAGCCATAGATAAATGGAACAATCTAATTGATTGTTGTGTAAGCGGTAAGGGTTGTCTCCAGTAATCTGGCTTGGAAATGAGTCGAAGTACATCCGATTTGGATTGAGTAGCAGCCAAAATGGATTGTTCGTGACAAGTAATTAGGACATACACAACATTTTACTAACTTATCCAGCTTAGCATGCTAACCGATCTGGGGTTTTTTTTTTTTTTTTGAAAAATCTGACGATAAAAGACAACGTGATTGTTATGTCAATTTTTTTCCAACTTCGAATGGCGCGTTCTCTAAAAACCAGAGTTCAATGACCAACAGTTCTTTTCCTTATGTCGTGGACCCAAAAGCAAACACCCTATGTTACCCTTGCCCTCACTAATCCCCGAAACTAAATGACCAGAACATACAACCCTACGTACCACTAACATAAATTTTCTTATAATGATAAGTTGTAATAAGTCCACTCGATCGGACACACGTAACACTTTGTATCAACTTCATACCACACTGGCTGGTTGCTAGCTAGTAACCATTGCTTAGTGTCAAAATTTAGGGATGATTATTGGAATTTAGCCCAATTGTATATGACACGAACGTGGTTGCATTTCCCAAAGAGAAAAAAAAAAGATAAAAATAGAAGACAAATTAAACAGCGGATTTGTTAGATTCCCTTAGGTATCTTGCAGCCAGATATGACAAGAACATATAGGATCAGTGGGTATAAAAATAGGACAGGACAGGACCCAAGAGAAGTATGTGTACAACCTACGGAAAACAAGGTAGATGAAACGTTTTACATATTACGTAATGTCGTATGAGGTTGCAACAAGACTAAGAAAACTCTCCAAAATGTTAACTTCGTCCAACTGGCTAGACAGAAACCCTTTGGGCTTAGCTTGTCTCCTCCTCCATGTAACCGATTTCTGTTACATCTGTGTCCCCAAAATGTAACCAAGACACAACCATAGGAATTAGATACCTAGTTATACCATGATTATTCAAATTTTGTATGACAGTGATTCTATACACTTTTTTTCTTTGAAGATATAAGTTTAATGTTGTGTTTGTTAAATCGTACTGGCGGTCCAATCAGGGGCGCCGGAGCCAGTTTGAAAGTGGGTGGATCTCGAGAACTCATTTTTGGCGGTAGAACACAATATAAAATGTCGGTATTTGTGCACAACCCACAATATTTGAATTCAAATATCTCATGTTTACTAGTTTCACTTGTCTATATATCAACATATAGTAGAGAACTTTGTGATAGGTATTAACCTTGTGTATTCTATGAATAACTATATATTCTAGGGTAATGTCTATTTTTTATCCAAACCTTTTTCAGATTTTTTTATATTATCCAAACCTATTAAAATGCTATTAGTTAGCCAAATCTTTCGTAATGCATCAAAATATTAGCCATTTTTACGTTTCGTTAATAAATTTGTAACTTTTTTCTTAGTTAAAATACTAAAATTTTGCAATGTTGACCTTCATGTGCCTCTTCCAAATTAGTATCATGTTGCCAAGTCAATATTACTAACAAAATTGCTAACCGAAAGTTAACATTTGGCTAATACGAAAAGCAGTAACCTAGCTAGCTTTCCCCATCGAAAGGTACAAGGAATCATGAAACATTAACTTGCTAATCAAATCTACCTACCTACTTATCTTCTACGTTCTCTCATCTCAGTATACAAACCTAATCACATGCTTTCTCGCAGAAGGAACCACCTAGCTAGAAAACGATCCAGTTCAGTCCATTCTCTTTCACTCTTCTGCAGAGTGTCATCTATATATTAATTATAAACTTGTTCATCCTCCCAGTACGTGTTGCCTAAGCAAAAACTAATTGTTTAAGGTAGCCAAACCGCGAGTGTTAATTTAGCTTCATGGGATGTATATAAAGATCCATCGTCTATATTGGTGACCTAACATATATATATATGTTTGTCGGCTTCTCAAAAGCATACGTGCACTTCTCGTCTCGCCAAGACTTTCCTCACTCGGCAAACAAAACGAGGGTTTTCAAGTTTGGTTCGACGTACATATATATCTGGACAAGACAATACATTGCTTTGATTTGTACGTATTCTAATCACTCAACCAGATTGCACCACGTGTTTGCATGCTGCGTGGGAATCAATTAATCATGGTTTCTGGATTGTTCCATGCATATATATATGTGGAGGATGGAGTCGAATTCCTACTTACGATTGAAAGAACCCAAAATGACAACAATTTCTCTTGTTCGATTACTTTAATGTTTATCTTTGCGTTATTGCTTATTGACTATATGTGCCGTTGCATGGCCCTCTCCCACAGTCACGTACACCTGTCGTTCCAGAGGGAACTCCATGCATGCATTTTAGCTATACCTTGGACAAAAACAGACAAACTTCTTGATGGGTAGTTAAGTTTCGGCGAGATACGTTTGGTTCCTCTTTGACTTGGTGTGTTTCTCGGATTTTAAGTAGGTGACTAGCTAGTAATATTGGATATACTCCAAGAAACAAGACAAAAACTAGTTTCTGTCTCTTGATATGGTAACAAGTAGGGTTTGGAGGTAATGGGTTATTCTATTTGGTTTCACTGTTGGCGGGTAGTGATATGGCTCTCTGGGAGGAGAACATTTGGCTTATCGGTTTCGTTATGGGGATCCTGATAATGAAGTGTCGACTAAGATTGGTGAAGCTAGGTTACTGTTGTGTTTTCATGATTTGAGCTAGCTCTTCTGACTTAGTTTTGAAATAATATTACATGTGACTCTAACAAATGGTGAGTTTGGATTGTACCGTGTAAGGAGCGTTTAAAATTCATTCATGATCCTCAGTCAGCAACTCGAACTATAGAGCCCAGTTGGTTTATGGTACCGTCAGAGCGGTTTGTTATTGAGATCAGGTGTTCAAGTTCTCACGATCGACCTCTAATGTTAACCGCGCGTTCTCTTAAATTACATGGCATGAGTGGCATGTGCAAATTTTAAGCTCGTGAGTTATCTTTCGTTTGCGGGTTCGTGTATGAAAGTGGTTAAGATTCATACATGAACATCTCTCAACAACTCGAGTTATTAGTACCAGTTGGTTTATTACATGGTATGATAACGGTTTGTTATTGAGTTCAGGTGTTCAAGTTCTCACGATTCTCAATATAAACCGTTATTTTAAATCACATGATATGAGCAACATGTGCAAACTTTAACTCCGTAAGTTGGCTTTCGTTATTTTATTATATTTTCTTATACACCTTATTATCTTGCCACATATGCTACATATTAAATCAACAGTTAATATTAAAAATTATTAAGATTCGAAACATGTCCATCGGTAACAACCGACTTCTCTTACTCAAATTATCAGAAATCTTCGAAACGCTGCAAGTAGTCAAACTTCACACGTGAATGTAAAATATCTTCGGACAATTAGGTATCTGTGTACTTACTCTATTTCTTTATGAATATAGTTCATAAAATATTATCTTAACTCCAGATATTATGAACTTAAATATTCATTTTGCTAGGGATCGAATCGTGCCAACCTTCTGGGGATATGGGTATCCATTATCGTTCCTAATCCTAGCTAGCTACATTAATTTCAAGCCGCTGGTTAATTACTGTTAACTTCCCAAGATAAGTACATTGAAAACCCACAACTCCACGATTCCTAATTAATGAACAGACTCAACAATGCCCTTCTCTTGACAAGTGTTGGGACTTGGGAGGAGAAATCATAAGTCCAGCTTAAGCTAAGTTTGAAATATATGATTATAATTATTACTTGCGATTATGAAATTGTTTAATTACGGTAAATGGAAAATTTAGTTGCTGAGATAACTACAGAATTGTTTCACGTTTCTCATTTAAAATTTTAATTCTATTAGTCACTGAATTATTTTAATAATTCAAGTTTTATCATTGCCCGTTATCTTCCATCTATCTCCGTTAAAATTGACTTTCCTTAGGTCGAGCAGGTCAATAAGTCATGAGTTGGGTTATTTCACATTTATAAAAAAAAAAGTTCATGAGTTGGGTTATAATTGTTGATTAAAAAAAACAATTATATATATGTATGAGTTTTTTAGACCAGTGAGTTTGGATCACGAGTTGCTTGAGGTGAGTATATCATTAACTAATTAGTTTTCAATAACTTGAGTTATTTTGTTCGGATATGTTCAATGAAATTTTGGAATGCGCCCTTAACGCCCTTTTCTTACAACAAAATGGAATTTTTGAATTTTTCTATAAAGAAAACGATACTATATCCATAATATATCATATCTTCCTTTTTTACATAGAATCATATTGGATCAAATTCCATTTCAATTTATTTGTTAATTTGTTTACTACAGGTCACAAAAAACCATCTATCGTAATTAATTAATAATAGAGTACTGAATGAGAATTAAATAGGCGGCTGTGGTGGAATTACGCCACAGTGAACTTGGCAAGCACATGTATGGAGAGAGCCAGAAGGAGTGCTGTTACATATGCAATTTGTGGCATTCACATTCCCGTACTTCCCATACTTGCCTAAAAACTCTATATAGCATTGTTCAGGCCCGCATCCTCCAACAAATTCGTCCGTGAATTCACACCATTTCACATCATCGCCATCCACTGTAAAAAAAAAAAGAGAGAGAAAAGAAGAAAAAAAGTTCACTAAACAAACTGATCATGAATGATGGCTAGGGATGAAAATTTGAATTTGTCACGTCGGGTATTGCCTGATCTGGCCTGAAATAGGGCGGGTATTATCCGATCCGCAATAACATGGGCGGGACGTGAGTATTATCTATTTCTGACTCACTCTACTTCGCCCCGCCCTGTTATTGGCTCATTTTATATCGATTTTACAACATCTATTCTTATTTTGATTCGCATATATGAGATAATATAATTGAGATTTAATTTATTCACGCATTGTCGCGAAAACCTTAATTAATTACCTTCCCATGCCACAACTAAGTTGAATAGTAGGATGACAGAGATGAACACAACTAGTGTTGCGACCTTTGTCATTTTAATTCGACTCGTGTACTCGATATCAGAACTAGCCTCAGCCGACCAATATTTCCCTCGTTCTTTTATGTTATGTTTTCAACTATTGGTATTGGATAAAAGAAAACAAGTGATATATAAGAGAGAGTTTGGCAATTCAATTAAACATTTTGATTAATATAAAAAAATTGTTATAGTAACTTATCTAAAATAAAAATGAAATTTGGTAATCGAGTAATAACCGTCTTACATTTAGGTTCTGCTTCCACTTAATTTGGTGCTCAAAATCTGCCCCCAGAGATTTTAATTTGTTGCCTATTTTCAAGAATGATACTCGAAAATAAAGAAAATAAAATAAAAATTTAGATAGAAGATAAGATGCATAGCCCTTGTATAATTATAATTAAATCTGGGCCCTTAATTTTGAGTGGGCCAGAAGGACCCAAATCTATGAGTGAGGATATGGTGACTAAGGGGGGGTGCTTAGTCACTTGACTAAGCTCATCCCAGCTCTTAGATCTGGATACATCAATCTTACGGTTAAAAAGTGGGAAGGGCTATTTAATTAATGACAATGGTAGTTTGGGTATTATGGAAAATTATGAAGTATACAAACCAGACTTACAATCAGTACAAACCATACAAACATAAAAACAATACAAACTACAATGACAAAACATACAAACATATTTACAAACATTACAAACATATTTACAAACATTACAAACATATGAACTTGACAAATAGTACAAGCTAGACTGACAAAACAATACAAAGCATACAAAAAAGAAAAAACAACTGGGTTGACTTTGGAGGCTCCGTCCTTATATAGAGGGCTCCCTCCCAAAGTCAACCCGGTTGTTTTTTAGACATACAAACATTACAAACATGGTGGACAAAAATAACAAACAAGACCGACAATCCATACAAACTGGGAAAAACACCCGGGTGGTCGGGTTGTCTTTGGAGACTCCTTCCCTATATAGAGGAGTTTCATCCAAAAGTCAACCAGCTTGTTTTTTAGACATAAAAAACATTATAAACATGGTTGAAAAAAATGATAAACATGGTGCACAAAAATAACAAAGCTTACAAACATTACAAAAGAACCCGACAAACATTACAAAATAACAAAACTTACAAACATTACAAAATAAACCGACAAACAGTACAAAGCATACTAACTGTACAAAATGTCACTAAAAATGACAAACAAGAATGATAAGCAATACAAACCGAATCAATACAAACATTACAAAATAGGTCAACTAACATCAAAGTTTGAAGTGTTCATATTGTTATAAGGAGTTTAACTCAAGATTTTGGTTTAGCAGAATCCCTACCAGAAATGTCAAAGTTTCAATCTCAAGATGGACTTCTCCTAGCATATAAAAATATATTGGATACTTATCAATTACAAACGTTTTGAATTGGGGTTGGCGATCCACGGTGGGGTGGATGGATAAGCCATCCTGGATTCGATTGTGGAATGCTAATATCCCTCCAAAGTTTAAAGTCTTTGTCTGGCATATCTTCAATCGCATATTGCCGACTACGGAAGCCCTTATTGGGAAGCAGGTTCCGGTGCTTCCCAGGTGCCCGGTGTGCTGGGACAGTGAAGAAACTTTGGAGCATTTATTCTTAGATTGTCCAGTTGCTCGGGCCCTTTGGGACTATTCTGGACTGGCTTACTTAGGGGAGGGGCTCCCCCGCCATACTTTCCCTTTGTTTCTGAAAAGATTAATGGCGTTGATTCCCCAGCCTCCTCTGTTTATGGCTTTGGTTGCTATCCTTTGGCGGATATGGCGGTCACGGAACTGGGTTGTCTTTGAAGGCAAGCAGTTTGGGTTCCCGGCCTTGATGCGTCAGTTTCAGCAACAGTATGAGGAGTGGGTCCGGCTCCCAGTAAATACAAGCCCAAGATTGGCTCCCTTTGCAGCAGTACCCGCTGAGTCGAGCCTAATGGGTCTGGGTGGGGGGACAGGGTGGTGTGTATGTGGGATGGGGCGGTTCGGAGAGGATCTCACTCGGCTGGTGGGGTGGTTCTTTTTACTCTTACTAGGGAGGTTTGGCTGGTGAAAGGGGTTTGTTTTACTGGCATGGATGATCCGATGGTGGTAGAATTGCTTGTCCTTCGGGAGGCAGTTTGGTGGTGCCTGGAGCTAGGCCTCTCGGAGGTTCAATTTGAAGGTGATGCCAAGGTTATTATTGATAAAATCAATCGTGCGGATGCTAGAGATAACCGGATCGGAGCTGTTTTGGAGGAACTTCAACAATATTTTCATAGCTCTGCTGGTTTTAGGGTTCGATTTGTAGGTCGGAGTAGTTAGGGTAGCACATTCGGTGGCTCGTAAAGCCCTCTCTTTGTACCCGACTATGAGTCGTTCTTTTGATTTCCTGGCCTGGCTTTCTTCTAGGATGTAATTATCTATTTTTTGGATCAATATATAATTATCTTTTATCAAAAAAAATTCTAATCATGTCTCAAAATGGGAGATTTCTATAGGTTTTGGTTCAGAGGTATGATTGCGAGATTTCAATTTGGAGATTTCATATTTTCAATTCAAGGTGACTTCTCCTAACATTTACCAAATACTTATATTTGATTATTATCAAATACAAACGTTTTGAGTTCTAGTTGTGTCTAAAGAAAGATGCAACACGAGCAACGTAGTCAAAAGCGCGATTCTACGTAGAAACGTTTTGATGATCTAGAATCGTAAAATAGTAAGATTTTAAGTTTTAAAGCATAGATTTTGACTACATTTATAAGAGAAAAGTGTGATTCTACTTAGAAGCGCTTTGGTGACTTAAAAGTGTAAAAGCGTAAGTTTTTAAGTTTTAAATCGCGATTTTGACTGCAATGAACACGAGTACTTTTCAAGATGTCATCAATTTTAGTAGTATTATTGTCGTCTGAGTGCGTTTAATTTCAAAGTTGTGATAAACTTCTAAACAAAAATAGTTTACAATGAACTCATCCCCGAAATCAAGGTTTTTAACCCGCGAACTGACCCAACTGCGGTGGAAAAAACATGTGTCGCACATCCATTTTGAACTTCCCCCTGATTCATCAAACTCTCTTCAATCCGGTCAAAATCTGGCAAAATTGGCTTCGACACGGTCAAAACTTGGCAAAATCGATCAACCAACTCTACACATAATATAATACACCGAAGGGAAAAACGGGAGCCCCATTTCAAATTTCCTGCAACGAGAGTGAAAGTAGGAAGGACATTTTGGTCTTCACAAGTACTTTTTTTTATTCATTAAAAGGTATGTACTGGGATTCGAACCATGACCATTTTAAAGAAAGGCAAGGATCATAACCAATCACACTAAGTACATTTGTTGTATCCTTTTAAATTAAAAACATATAATAGCAGGGTGGAAAAAACTCTTCCCCCATTTCAAATTCCCTGTTCCATGAGCGTTTGTAGGAAGGGTAAAATAGGGAGTGTCAATTTTTTCTCTTTCCTCTATGGAACGGACCAACTTACCGTACACATGCAGATTTAAACGAGTCAAAGAGTGTCAATTTTTTTCTTTATACCCTTTTATTTATCCGTGGTGATACAATATATATGAAAAGGCAAAAATAATACTCCTTTTTATTGTTAAAAATAAAAAATTTAACAATAGACTAATGCATGGTATCTAATGGGCTAACCGCTAACCATAAAATAAAAGAGTTGAATGGGCCTGACCTACATGGGATTTGGTCATCAAGTAAAACAAATGAACATCATGGGTTTGCCATTCTAAAACAAGCTATTTTCTCTGGCATAATATATATTATGCTATTATTTTATATCTTAGTGGCTAAAATATAATGTATTTTAAAGTTATTCAATGGTTCAACCTCGACCAACCCAATTAGTCCAATTTTTATCATTTCAAATATATATTTTATAATTATTTGACATCATAATGATCAAATTATAGTGTATTTTATAGGGAATCGTTTGGTATTTGTTAGTAAAAAACTAAACATAAAAATCTATTTGGTTATTTTAAACATTAAAACGATCCTCAACATTTTCAGTTCCTTTTGAATTTATATGGTTTTATTCCCGAATAAGTGATGTGCAAATGGCGAATTGTAGTCGTCTTTTTTCTTTCACTATTTTTTTATTTTCAAATAGAAAGTTTAAAAGTAAAGAATAATTAGAATTTGGCATGGGTCGGTCAAACAGGTTGAATTTCAAGTTTTGGCCCATTTGTTTTATGCATTGCAAATTTATTAGCATGTTGATGGAAATGGCTTGGAAAAAAGACATATAAGTTGTATCTTTGCAGAAATGTCCTCAAATGTTTGAATGCTTTGTGAATCAGGTTCTGTGACTTTTGTGATGGTGTATGTGCTGACGATTGCTCGATGTTGTAACTACTTAATTTAAGAGTAAATCTTTTGACTTTCCCTATGAGTTGTGATACCAATTCTGGTGGTTGCAGCATGTTGTCGTTGTTGGCCTGTAAAAGTTGTTCCGCCGTGATGCTAAATACCTTTCTTTCTTTTTTAACAAATTGTGTAGTAGTGCTATGAAACAGACCACCCATGAACGCTACGCTTATTATGTTCTGTTCTTACTTCCGGTGGTGAGAAATTGTGAATTGAGAATCATATTCGCCTACCGCACTGTGTCTGGTTGGTGGCTGCCTACTGTGCTCTCTAGAGTTATGAAACAGACTACCCATGAACTTTACCCTTAAGAGTCCACAACTTTGCGAAAAACCAAATATAGGCAATCAAAGGTGGTGGATGTGTGATGATTTTTTATGGCTTAATTGTTTGTGAATTAGATATATGATCTTTGTATGATTAGAGGGGATGTTTGCTTAATAGAATAATCCATTTTAATTCATGTTTATTTTTAACATGAACTTTAGTAACTCAAAACCTTTGAGACACATATCACCTACTGCATTGTATCATTTTGCCTGGGTGCTTGCTGTGTTGTCAAACTTCTTTGCTGCTGATGCATTTACACTAACAGGGGAGTTAAGAACCCATGAATGTTTCCGTTTGACACAAACAAGAGGACTTACTTCTAAATCATGCACTAAAGATGATTGGAGGAAACATCTCTGTTGCAGTTGATACTC